TGTGTGTGTGTGTGTGTGTGTGTGTGTGTGTGTGTGTGTGTGTGAGACTTTGTAAGTAAAGGTAAAGTGACTCTATCTTGTGTCTGCCAACTAAACAGAAAATGATTGACATTCAAGTCGATTGTTTGCTCTCCTGGAATGAATTAGTTAAGCTCACAACCTAAGGCACAGCAGTAGCATCACATACTTTTCCGTATTCATTTCCTCTAGCAGTAGTGCTAAGATGCTTGGCTGCCCTCTGTCAGCCCCACGAATCAGTGTTTCCTGGCTCAAATAGGATTCTCACGCCCAGTGTTCAGCCGGTGTCGGGGTCTGAGGGTGAAGTGTGAAAAACACTGAGGACGTGAGAAGGAAAGTCATCTTTTGTCACTGTGAATACCACACCGTCTTTCCACAGCACTGAATCTGCTGATGTGGAAAAGGTGAAACATTGTAGCTGAGGTGTTTTTTTTCGTGTGAGGATTTGGAGATGCACTGAATAACCAAAAGGCTCAGATGTGATATGGGAATCGGTTTCTTTCCCTGCCTCAAACTCCGTTTGTATGTCGCTCTCTCTCTCCTTTACACTGTTGATTTTGTTTAATTTGCCTTGTGTCAAAGCTGTTTAATCGAGAGTTTTAGCTTTCCCTTAAAGTCACACACATGCGCTTGTGTCTCACCATTAATTACAGACTGGTAATCTGTAGTTGTTGCCATTTACACAAGATCTGGATCTGCACTATGTTACATCTTGCATAAATACATTTGCTCCACAGAGTTGAACCTGAACATTATTGAGAAGAGCGGACCTTTATGGCAGTAATAGCGGTGTAGTAATCCTATAGTTGTTCCTGCTCACCGTTTGTTACTAAATCTAGGCCGTGTCAAACCCACTTTAAACCCAGGCTCATGAGGCCAGGCTGGACGGTGCACGTCGACGCTGTCAGACCTCAAACATGGGCTCATTTCAGGTCACAGCATCAGTCTGAAGTGGGCACCTGTAAAAGATCTGGACACAATAAATTGAAAAATGAGGAGACTTGCCGCTTCCTTGTGAGAAGTAATACTCGTGAATTGATCATTGTGATGGAAAATCCCATTTACAGTTTTTATCAGACTAATTCCGATTGGCAATTTGGCTTTTATTGTTTTGCCCGAAGAGACGGTCTCTCATGTGGCTCCATCAGCATCTAGTAGCTGTATTTTCAGCTGTAGAGCCACACCCGATCAGCCCCCAGCCTAAACCCCCTCCGTCCTTATGATTACTACATCTGCTTATTTATCTTCCATTTAATACACAGGTGTGACCGCTCAGGGCCGCCCCCCCCCCCCCACCTTTACTGTTTTATTGAGTATAATCACAATGTGACTTTAGTTAAGTAGTTTCTGGGATCATTTAATTCAGTAATGACAACTTTTGAATTAAGAGTCACAAAAGCATAGACAAAAATTGACAAATGACAAGTCGGCCTATTTGTTGCATATTTAAACATAAAACAGACACTCCTCCATAGTCTGTACGTCAAATACAACACTATACAAACCACAAATACCTTAAGCATTACCATTTACATGTAAATGTTGTCTGAACCAAGGCCACATGTTATGTTACCTGTGTTTCTGTATTACTTACTGGCATGTAGCAGGAGGTGGATACATGATAGACAACAGAGGGGCTGCAGGATTTCGGTGGATGTGGCTGAGCCCAAAACAGGAAACACTTTTGCACCGCGGTCAATAAATCTGACTCTCTGTGGTCTTGGTTATGCACAAATGAATATTGGAGGAAGCCCAAGTCTGTGAAAGTTTGGCCCTCACACTTGCTGTCTGGCCCACCGGGCATAAAGGGTACGTTTGTCAGAGCAGAGAAGGAAACGTATTAAAACTTTACTTTACAGTGGGCTTATTCCAGTTTGTTGGTTGTGTTGACCTACATGTGAACAGAAATAATGAGGTGAAATTGATGTTTATTTTTTATTTTTACAGTTTTAGGCCAGTATTTGGCAAGTAAAGAGTTGTAAAATAAATGGAGAGAGGAAGTGTATCAACAATAGTAATTGAAAACGGTTAAAGCTGATGGTGATCAAAACTTTGGTTGCACCTAAAACTGAATCTGCAACAGGCTTGAGTTATTTATGGTCATGGTTTGTTTTCACTCATGTAGAGCATTGCTTATGACTAAATATCTGCACTACTATGTTCTGTGCATCTACAAATTCAACTTGTTTAGACCCAGCTTGTAATAATAATTGCTGCTAACTCTCCGCCTGTTCTTTACAACGTGATGTATTTGTGGCTGTAAAAGGGATTTTCCTTTGTCTGCATGAGTTGAGGAATGCTGTTTGGCAGCTGGATGTATTATGAGGTCTTCAAAAAGGGCCAAATGCATTTCGGAGTTTGGGGAGTTGTGGTATGTGAAGCTCCCCCCCCCCTGTCTTCCCTAGCTCA